GGGTTATATAAAAAAAAGGTTTGGGGGAAGTTTTTTTAAAAGGAAAAAGAGCAAGTGTTTTGTAAAAGATCAAATGAGGTCATATAGTATCATTCTTTTAAAAGAACATGCTTAAGTGCCAACTTGAATCTTACAAAAGCATGCAAAACACCAAGGGTCCAAGCCCATTCATTAACTTCTCATAAAAACATGAAGAACTCTATCATACATTCTGCTGGCTGCATCTCCAGTGCAGTTGTTCACACTGTGGCCCTGGCTCAGCAAAGTTTGCCCCATTTAACACCAGTGCTTTACTGGTCCTCACAACTGCCGTGGAAGTACCAACATGCTTAATATTAAGCAGGTAGGTAAGTGTTTTGCTGGGGGAGGATGGGGGTGTTAATCTTGTTGTATGTTTTGCTAGGAAATGATTTTGAAATGCCGTGCCTTTGATGTGACCAAAAAACAAAACCAGAAAGCCAACCCAGAGAGAGGACTGTGTTTTAGATCGCATGGGGAGGTGGTTGTGTTTGTACTCAAAGCCGGAACTGCCCACAGCTGACTGCTGTACGCTTGCACAGGGTATCGTAGTTATTGCGGCTAGTGCTGCTGTTTTGCATTCCCATCCCGGAGCAATCCCATCTTTTGCCCTCCCCCTGCCTCATGCTGCACTTGAGGACGCTGATTTAGGAGCACATTGCGATCCCATGTGTTCTCAGCAGGCTGTTTCGCAAGCTAAATGGTGATGCCCAAACATACAGGCAGACCAGAATTGGGCCACTGCGTCAGAGTTATTTCTCCATGTAAACCTGAACCCTGGAAAGCAGTTCTGTTTCCATTAAGACTTTTATCTTCCATTTTTATGAAATATGAAGTGAACTATTCTAGCTGGTATCAGACTGTTTCGGGAGTGTTCTTCTCTTGGAAATCAGTATTTTATAATTTTCCAAAAATAAAATATATTGTATCTATTAATTAAATAAACTGTCTGTTCACAGAGAAAATAGTATCACTATATTTGTGCATTACCTGAATGGAGTTGTAATTTTTTTCAGTCAGAGTTATTAAGGGGGGGGGCTCAAACACAACGCTTGAAAAAAGCAATTCCATTAAGTCCTCTTTGTGTATCATGTGAACAATTTCCCCTGGTATTACAATATGACAATAACATTATTCAATGAATGTAGAAAATAAAGGTTTAATATTATTAAGTCTTGACTGCATTGCAAGGGCCATCTTAGTCATGATAATCTTTCCAGGGATATGCTTTTCACTTCCAAATGCCATTCTTGTTAAGAAGTAAAATATCTCATCAGTTTTACTTAGATTCAGAACACTAACTGTATTGCCTATAAAATGTGTCAGAAATTTGGTATGTTTAATGTATCAACTTTCTAAAAAAGAAGAAAGTATTCTGTGTTTGTGGTATATGCTATTAAAAATCAGTGAGAGCACAAGTGAGGCATCTTGCTGTCCCAGCTACAGGTCCACAATACTGCGCTCACACTGCGGGTGTAAATTCAGCATCTACATGAGGTACAGTGACTTGTCAGCATTTAATATGGACCAACATACACTGATATAGAACAAAAGTAAATACATAACTTATACTTCACTAAGTATCCATGAACAAAAAATAAAATTCTATTTCCTATGTTATATTTACACAATTTAAAAAAATTCTAAAATGAGATGGTAAATTCATCAAAAACTTTGTTTTGAGCTCCGATTAATGAAATAAAAAATGTTGGTTTTTATCCTTATGATTGTCCTTCCTTGATTTCTACTGACATTTTAGAGCCAATGTCGGCTAATAAATAGAATAAAATGCTCATATGCACAATTCAGATTCAAATATGTTCCTCCCACTCCCCCAGCCAATAAATGCAGTTTTTACCAGCTGGCGATTCCTGAACAGCCAGTCATTTTCAAGAATGTGGCTTTAACATGCAGAGCATCAGCAATGAGGCAGGGCTGGAGCTAAAACAAAGTGTTCATACATACATGTATTTTGCATAAATAAATGAAATAACAAGACATAAAAATGACTCAAATCCGGCAACTGTGAGGCAGGCCCACACGAGTCGAAACAGATGACTTTTGTTCATGTAGTTTTCTTACAACAGTTTCACATTAGTCAGAAGTGATAAAAAATACCATTTATATCCAGTGCTTATAACACTTACGAAACAACATCTGTGAGTGTGTGTTTTTTTGTACTACAAGCAAAATCAAGTTTCAGTCCTAAAGAACAGTCCTTTGTTCTCCACAAGCCTGCAGAATATTATTTTGGCATGGTCATAAAATTTAAAAAAAATTAACCAACTAATCTAAATGTTTGCCTTTGTGCAAAAAAATAATTACATAAAATACAATGCTAGCAATACAGCATTCTACCTATGCAACAAAACCAGAAAAAAAAAAGAGAGCAAGAGAGAAAGAAAATGACATGGGGGGAGGGAGAGATACTTCTAACTGGAGAATTATGTAAGACATTAATAAATAGTAATTTTTTTAGGAAATAATGGTATCCTCCCCCCAATCTGAGCTGAATGTATTAAAACCAGTTCAAATTCCCAAGCAATTATAAGAACAAAACCCACTTTCTATCAGTACCTTAGCCAGCTTAAAGAGGGCGCTCACCAGCTAACGACACAGCATATGCCTTTAAAGTCTTGGCTAGACCAGTTTATTGCTTATTAGACATGGATTCAGAACACATTTAAATAAATATTAAAAATATAGCATTTCGTTCCAAATTACAAAATGGTCAGAGAAATTTGACCATTGTGTTTCTATGCCATTATCTTTATAAATTGTCCTGTAAATTGAACAATATTCTTTGTCTTGGGGGTTGTTCTGGCACATTGAAATGTGATTCCTACAGTGGCAACAGTGGCTATCTCTGCTCAAATAGCATTTGTGGGGCTAGGAGGAAAATGACTGCTCCCGATACAGCATCTTGTCATTGCAGCTCCCAAGACAGGGATACAAGACGAGGATAGCCAGCTTAACACTCTACTTCTTTCATTGTCTGGGCCCTGAACAAAGCCCATTCAGCACCGTGGGAAGATTCCCACAGGCTTCAAGAGGAGCTGCTCTGGGCCCACTCATACCTCTCAGCCCAAGTCTGAATTTATCACCAATGTGCCGAACATATCCAATTCAAAATAAAAGCTGAGGGAGTTGAGGAGCTTCAGCACATAAATTCATCAGGCCCATTGGATCTGTATATGTATACAGTGATGTATTTGTGAACAGGAGTGGAGTGTGAGGGGAAAAAATAGAGGCAATTTCTTCTCTGTCTCTGAAATTTAATAAATTCGCTATCTTTGAATATCTCTCTCTTGTATATTTCCCAGAGTTTTCTCTAGCAATTGCATTGTTTCTAGTAGTAATAAAAATTTTAGTTTTTATAGCACCTTACATCCAAAGATCCCAAAGCATTTGACAAGCATTCATCAAGATCTGGCTCACATTCCCACATGACTAATGTTCAATAAATATTTTTGATGCACCATTTTCCCAGCTTTGCCAGCCAGATATTTGTGTGGCCTTCCCTCCCCCACTAGGAGTGTCACATATAAATCACTGCATAAATACTTAAGGTAGCAAACAGTTCCTTCAGGTGACAACAGGAACATGATGCACGGAGCCATGATTCACTGCAGGTTTCTACAGGCCCTAAAAATTCATCATGGTGGACTCTACATGCAGTTTGGATTTTACATCTGCCATTGCTGTCTGTCTAAGTATAGAAGTCTATAACCATAAACATAATTTTTTTAGGAATATTTGTACTGTATGTACATATAAAAGTACTCACTTTAGTTTGCATTACATATAGCAGAGTATTTCCAAGTGCTCCTTGAACATACAGGAACAACTGAATTTCTCACTCACGAATGTCATGTTCATTTTAGTAGCAGGTGCACTTTCATTTTCATATTCCTGTTTAATTTAGGGGAGGAGAAAGAAGGGGCTCTTTAAACTGTCAATAAGGAATTGTAAGTGTAATGCCACCAACAGTACTTTTAAAAATAAATATTAAGTATGTGGACCCTTGACATTCTGGAATGAATAAATTATTTAAGAGAAAATGTGTTAAGACTGAATGCAAGGGTTAAAAGCAAAGGGGTAAAGAATGTAGTCAGAGGTGGCCTCACACTGCTAAGACAGGCCCGTCCGTAGCTGGTGATCGCTCTTTTGTGCTTACTTAAAATTTCATACTAATGGCACATCAAGAGGCAAAAGCAATTGGGCACATGCACTATGGCAACCATGTTCACTACTTAAGAATATCCTGTCTCCAGATTCCTGAGTACTTTACCATATTCTGGAAAAAATTAGGTTTTATATATAATTTTTTTAAGATGCCAAAGGATTGTCTAAGACTTTACAGTGTCTCCTTTAAGACTTTTTTTTTTAAATGTTAAGATTCAAAAGTTATGAAAAGTTTGGCACATCAGAAGTTCAGCTATACATATGGAAAAAAACGGAATTCAGAGACTATTTTTTAAAGATGAGCTATGATGCACAGATGTGCACACTTGTGGACTTGTTCTGTTTCACAATATGAAATCTGCAGTTTTTGTTTTCTAAAATAATCCAGAATAAAAACACATTCACAACCTGTAGGCTGGCACAGCATACCTGAGTGAGAATGTATAACCCCCATCTAAAACAGTAACTTAAACCTTTATCAGCATCCAAACGGAAAAAGACAAAAGGTAAGACTTGTAAGACAGCTATTGATTCATATAAGTTTTCAAGTCCTGATGTCTGATATTTAATATATGTCTTCATCTAAATTAAAAAACAAAACAAAACAAAAACAAAAAACCCAAGTTCATGAAAAATTAGGGAAACAATCTGTCTCACACATTAAGAAACATTTAAGACCATTCTGCTGATGTAACTGTAGGAGCCACACATGCATGCAGGCTCTTTAAGAACTTTTGTTCAAAAAAAACCCAAAAAAACCCAAAAGAGTCTGAGTACTTTAATTCTGTGAACACTCCTCAGTTGGCACTGACTGCCTCATGGGCTTCATTTTCACTACTATAGTCTGATTTGGGATCATCCTCATAGTCCTCGTACATTTCTATTTCATCCTCTCCATTTATCATTTCATTTCCAGCAAGGCTTCCGCTGTCCGTCTTCATACCATAAGTGCTCTGAATGACGGGGATGCTGGGCTCAGGGCTGGCAGAGGTGCTCGAGCAATCGGATGTCATCTGAGGTGATGGCGTGGTAGTCGCCATGGTAATAGCACCAGGATAGACAACCCCCGTTCCCGTGGTGATTGGAATTTGAGGCTGTTGTCTGGAAGGAAAAACAAGAGGGGAATGTGATTTCCTGTGTTCAGAGGAGCGAAGACCTTCTGTAAGTCCAAGTGAAAGAAAAGTGGGAGGTTTCCTAGAAAGGCTGCATGCATTCCTCTGGGCTTCACAGTCTAGTCCCGTATGGTAACAGTTCATCTTGGCTTCCCCCAAGGACAACTGGAGAGTAAACTGTTCAGTAACTACCAGATGTTGATTCTCTTAGGTATTTCATGTATGTGTTCAAACCATACTGCAAACTAGCACTTGGACAGAGATCATCAAAAGGCTTCAGGCACCTGTGTGATGCCCAACCGCTACTGTAGACATCACGTATCCAAAATCTAAATCCTCCAAACTCCTGACAAGAGCTTCTGTTAATGAGGGGACCTCAAGATTACCTGTAAGTACCTAAAATGGCAGACAGATGACTAAGTAATATTGTCTAACTGTAAGTTTGTAATTTGCTTTGCTAGGTAGACTCCTATGTCACTTAGAAATCCTTTCGATACTTTATTGCTGGCTTATGATTTTTATTTAAATCTATGATCAGAATGCCATTTGTTCTTCAAGATTTAATGTGTAAGACTGAGTTTTTGAAGCAAAGTAATTGTAAAAAAAAAAAAAAGAAAAATGTTCTTTTTTCTATAGTAATGGACAGTCTGCAGAAATTCATACTTCCTCCTGAGGATACAATGTCAGATTTGATTTATTTTGACAATGCATATACATGGGAAGACTCAATGAAGGGCACTACCTCTACTTTTGACACATCTTACCTTCTGATATCTACCTTTGCACTATGTAATGTTGTCTTTTTCATGTCTGTGTGATTTTAAGCGTACTGGAGCAATACTACACTTCAATTAAAATAGGCTTATACCACTGCCAGTCAATAAATTCAACACGAGCTTTACTGTAAGCATGTACATAGTTATACTAAGTGATGCAATGTCTCTTCTTATAGTGATGTATGCATTTTCAAATGCTTTGCTGAGTAAAGGTCAGGTTGCTGAACCCATTCCATGGTCAAGCCCTTATTGGCTACAAATTAATTAAATCTACTTCTTACATTTGGGTTAATTAGCTAATAACATACTTTCTGTATTAAAATACTCATACAAATATTCTCATATTATTTCTGGATCATTACCTGTAGTAAAGCTAAGAGAAAAAGAAGAGACGTAACTTGCTGAAGGAAGTGAATCTCCATTGTACTTTAGATGTAACACTGAATGAATATACTGCAGTATCAGAAACACGTTAAGTGCCTTGGAAGATGCTGTTTTAGTATTGAGTATTTAGTGAACATACGTGCCTATTTGCGTAATCTATTTAAAGAATCATATATGTCAATGTATTCCCAACTTTCTTTAAAGCAATATCAACCAAATGTTAGAGAACTACTATATAATTTTAGCAGGAGAAACGGTGTAAGATGTGCTTGAATACACTAATAAAATCTATAACTTCTCAACCACTGTGTCATTCTATGCTAAAATTCAAAAGGACATTCCGTAAAAGTCTCTCACAAATTCTTAATCATCAGCTAAATCAATACACAAAATAATGTAAAGCTTATTTACAAGACCCTAGATGTGGAGTCTTTATTGTTCATTGATCAAACTCTAATTTTAATAAGTATCAGAGTTACTGGGAGACCAAAGTCCTTCAAGTTTGGGAACCAATACAGACAGTTAACTCATGAACACTCTGTGTAAGATAATATTAAAGTAGCATGTAGTATTGCCATTGCTGGTACTGCTAGCCTGACTCTTAAAGCCTCTGCACTGCTTGAGAAATTCAAACATCTGTTGTACAAGTGTGGTACACCTGGCTAGCAGCGAGCAAAAACATCACAGTAATTCATTTGACACAGTCATTATACTCCTGTTTGCAAATGATGATTTGCAGATGATTTACAAACAGCTAGGGATTTTTCACTAAATTTTCACTTTTTAAATGGTCTGATAAATATTCTGTGAAAGCAATTTTCAACCAATGTTATTTGCTTGCAAGTGATTTTCTTCAAAACATCTTTCAATACTTTATCCATAAAATTGAACACCTACCTCACATGGGAACATTTCTGGTTTAGGATTGCATGTTGTCGGGAGTATAAACTATTACAGTTAAAAACCCACATGTATCTCCTCCACAACTTTAAATGCAGAAAATGTTCACATGAATGACTCTTTCCACAAAGTAAAGGAAAAAGAAACACACATGGTCCCAGCAAAGTTCTACATAGTTGTCACCAGGCCATACACACTTAATTCTCTCTAATCCGCCCATCTAACACCTGTTGGTACTAATCTTTTTCTGGTATTTCTTAGAATAAATAAATTCACAAAACAAAGCATCCCAGTTGTACATCAAAGAACAGCACAATATTAATGCCAAAAGATGTTTTGAGAAAAGCTGTTTTTACAACTCATATAATAAGAGTTGTAGAATACACTCAGAGAATGATTGACTGCTGCTCTCGTGTTATAGATGACACTAAGGATCAGAACCTTAATATCCACCCCTACCTCTCCCCTCAAAAAAGTTTGCATTTTTTTAGAAGCACATCTCCTTTTTATAAGCGGCAAGAGGGAAAAGAAATCTGTTCAGGACAGGGCTGTGAGGTGTCTTGATAAAATGATGGTTGTCAGTGTTAAGCTCTAAAGGACAGACTAAGTTAAGAAGTTCAGATATTCTTTCAAATGCTTATCAAGTCAGCAAAACTCTTTTACATACCCACATTTCAATGGGACAGGGTATATTGCTCCAAGTACCACCCATTTCAAAATATAAAGAGAGCAGGTCATCTGAGCATAATGACTGGACACCTACCTCTCACTTGAGCCCTGTTGTTATTTAGAGCTGATAAGGCTGTCACTGTAATTTCTGCCTACGTTGCTGCATTACATTCCAGAAAGCCTTATTTTGAGGTATCACAAACTATATGGATGGCAATGTTACTGGAGATGAGTGTTATCATTTTCTAAGTAATTAAATTTTATAGGATGGGGAGGGGGAAGAAATCAGAGCATTTATTTAAATTCTAACCACTCTCCCTGAAGGGAAGTGTTGGAATTTCTAACCTATGACTCAGACC